TGTTAAGTTTGGGACTGGAAAAATGACAGTAAATTCCTTCCTTTTCTCCCTTACTGCAGTAAGTCTGTACCTGTTGGCCTTTCAGGTACCCAACAAGACTTCCTCTGTTCTCCTGATCAGGATAGAGTTGAGGAAAAGGTAGAGCACGTGCTTTCTTAGAAACACCTGAAATTATTTTGCGTGACCCATAGGAATGCCAAATGTAGATAGTTTTACAATATTTTTAATACATTTATTATCCTTCTTTCATATATTTTGTCCCTCAATTTTAGCATCTTTTAAATACTGAATGCCTAGAGGATTTTCTTAAAAATTAAATATATACGTGCGCGCACAGACACAGGTGTGTGTGCTAGGTTGTGTTCTAGCTTGTATTAAATTTGAAGCAGTATAACTTCTGTGAAGTCATAAAAGATTTATTTCACGTGAAGATTTTCATGCTATAGTTTTCCTTTGTACATTTAAAATGGCTCATTACAAACTCTTGGACTGACAACATAAAAACATTGTTTGTCTATCAAGTAGGTTGGCCCAGAGTGAGTTTTTCTCCTTCTCCAAACCAGCTTAGTTCAGTGTTCTCACAGGACCTCTTCAGTTAATCCCATTACGCTACGCTCAGTTGCTGGCATTCCTACTCAGAGAAATGCACAGAGGAATTGGAAATGTATATGTATTTTTAAATGTCTGAGGGTATGGATAGTGGTCATCAGCCTCCTTCAGAAATATCACAGAGCTGGTTGATTCACTTGATAGTCTGAGTGAAGCAAGAACATAGGTGAATTTGAGCAACGGATCTGAATTTCTCTTGGTGACTGCTGCTTCCAGAATTATTCCTTGGAAAGTGTCAGTTTTATGAGATGTCATGAGGTATTCAAATAACCCACTTACCTGAATAATAGTAAAAATGGGTGTTGTGCTACTGATTATGAAATTAGGTTTATTAACTTTATAAGCTAATTTTGCTGTCTTCCTTAGAGCAGGCTCACTGAACAGTATGCTGTAAACATGCTATATACTCCATCACAGCCATACAGAGGCTGTACCAAATACTTATCTGTTTCAGCTGAGACCACTGGCCAGACCTCCTCCTCACCTCCCAATTCCCTAATCTAATCTAACTCTGTGGGGTTTATGGGGGTTCATTTAAGCAGCAGAAGCTGTGCTATAATTGTTACATGTGCCAGCAGCGATTTGTACCATCTGGGTATGAAAAAAAGAGGCTAGTACTACCATGGAGAAAGATCTTTATTCTATTACTAAACCAATATAATTCAAGAGCGGCTGCAGAGCAATTGGAAACTGAGAAATGGGCAGCTATGTAGTTATAGTGAAATGTCAAAGTATAATGAAACAAGGGAAATGTACTGCTTCATGATATGAGCCAAGTTACAAGCAGGTGGCAGCAATAAATATGTATATAAATAACAATATGGATGAAATGTCAAGGTTTCCAGCTGGCTTTGTAAAGGCATTTCAGGAATATTATACTTAGAGTAACAATGTAGTTTGACAATTTAATACAAATATGTATCACTTCAAAATGCATATATTTACATTAAGGGCTTGGGTATCCTCAGGTTTTATCACACTTAAAATTTAGCTTCTGGCCCTACCTTTAGTTAAAACAGCCTAATAGTTTGTGAAACCTCAAACCATACTGTATGTTTTATGGGAGACTTGCTTCCATCTGATACCTTGTTATTCCACAAAATGAAACCCGCAGTGTTTCTACCTGTACATTTTTGAAAATGAATATAGACTAAGACAACTTGTGTATAATGTTACAGAACTATATGTGGAGACCAGTTTCCATGCCAAGCCCGTAAACTTACGTGTGATGAAAAAAGCAGTCAGGGTCTTTGCAGGCTCTGACAGAAGATCGTATGGACAGACCTTTCAAACTGGAGAGCAAAAAATTTTCAGTGCAGTCTTTAGGACACTTCAGTCTCAAGCCTAAAGTTCTAGCTTCCACTATCAATTCAATAATATTATTAGCTTTGAAGAAAGTTCTCTATGATCAACATTATAAAAGTTTCACAATAGAGAGCATCAAAGAAAAAGAAGAAAAAGCATTTTAAAATAGATTTTTTTTTTTATTTAACGCGGCAGTTCATACCACCTTCTCTGAAAGAGTTCTGACTGAGTCAAATGCAGGAGGAGAAAGAACTCTGACATATGTTTCAAAAACTTTCAACCCAAGTATTCATAGTTAAGTTGCAAGTAGCCAGGAGGTCACAAATTGATTAGATAAGTAGATAATAATGAAAATGACCTCTTAACAAAGCCTCTAAAGCCAAATACATTAACAGTTGTTAAACAAAGCTTGCATTTTATTTGCCGATTAGATCCTTTAGAGAGCAAACACTAGCATTGTCTCGGGCTCCATCGTTTTCACCTCGATTGTGTGTCCTGAAGATAAAGAAACTTAATACATTTACATTCCAGCATTTTGTAAGCATGAGATGAACACAAGTTAAACTGTTTTCAACATAGTGATACAATAGCGATAAATTAGTAGACTTATGCAAAGAACTAGGACATTATGCTCCAACTCTTATACTTTTATCAGTCTAGATACTTTTGAAAGTCAAATAGTGAAATTATTATGTCCTTACAACTAGAGATTACCAATCCGCTAACTGTAATTAATACAGTAGGTGCTGATGGGTTACAGACTGTCATTGTCAAAATCAACTTAAAACCGGTTACTGAGTTTTTATAACTAAGGCAAATCACCTTATAATGCATAGACACTTAAGCACATCTGTTACGTTGATGTATCACTAGTTTTATGGACCTGGATTAATTCCAGAGTAAACAGTGAGCACTCTGCTGAAAGGCTGTAAACATAGATACAAGTCATTCGTCTAGAAATCCCCAAGCATAATTTGCCAACAGACTAAGTGCCTCAAGTATTTTATCCTTTTTGATGTAGGAAGACGCTAATATTCTCCATGCTGTAATACTGAGGATGACTGCTGGGAGAAGTAGTAAGGTTTTTTTCTTTCATTCCTTATGGTTAAATTTGCTTACCTCTAATATTGAAGTACTATCAATCCTAAAGTTGTGCTACAAATTTATGAAGCGTTACAAATCTGCTAACAGTGAAATCTAGAGTTTTCCAAAATGAAAGTCATCCAATGTACAGGTACCCAACAAGGTGCATATATATCTCCTAAAATTAACTACCATACTTGCAGGTCCTTTTCAAAATCAGATGTGAGTCCATAGATCAGAAGGATCACAGGGTCTAAAGCCATTAATTACATTCAAACTGTATTTATATGGTTTTAGAGTCTTTCTAGCCATCTCAGAATCTTAGAACAATTTGTTTTTGAATTGAACCTTTCATCTTCATTCCTTTTGTTTCATCTTGTGGCCTTTGCTTTGACACAGACAAGATGAACAGGATTGTGAAGATTTTGCATATTGCTTTCTGATAGCAATACCTTACTCTTTTGGTCATGGTATTGTTAAGACAGTTATGAAGAGATTAAATTTTTGTTCAGAAATTCACACACACTGGGAACAGATTCAAAACTGCAAAATAAGATTTTGGGGGTTTGGGGGTTATTTAATGCGTGCTAATACTGAAAGTATATCCTGAGATGTGGAAGTGGCTATCAACTCTTTACTAAATTGTGGTAGGTAAGCCCTTTTGTTTTGCTCCTTTTTCAGTGTTCAGAGAGTTCATAAAACTTTGCTGGAGTTTGAACTCTGTTAGTCCAAACAACAGCAATTTCGTTTGCCACTGGTACCTATCAAATATAAGAACAGGGAAGTTTCTGTCTTTTCTTTATTCAGAACCCAAAATGATAGCAAAGAACAATGGAGAATGTAACTGGCATTACAGAAGAGAGTTTTAAACTGTGTGATACTAAAGATACATAAAAATCTTGCTTGACTAGAAATGTTAGAATATCAGATATAAGAGATGAAACAACAGACAATTACAACTGATAACAAAAGGCAAATCCAAGTAAATGTATAAAAGAACTTATTCCAGCAGTCCTGATAAAAATTTAAAAGACTAACCTTTTACATATTGAAATAAGTCAATGGATCATCATAGAAAATGTAAAGGTGGCTGAGTGGGAAAGAGAATAATTCTTACTAGGTCAGATGCTTTCTATAGAACTAGGGTGAGGAAGAGCTTGCAAATTATACAAATTAATATGCAACAATTCCAAGATTTCATTTCCAGGTGGCGACCTTGAGATGAAAAGGAGTTGGTGTAGGAGAAAGTTAGCTCCAGTTCATTGAGTGTCATATGGGAATTTTTCTATCTTGGTTAAATGCAGACTAAAAATTGTGAGTTCAGCCTAGCAAAAATGAGGAATAAGTAATTTAGCTTTAACTATAATGGCATTTTCATCTGTTGTTAAAATAATTGGGATAAATTTATTGTGCAGCTTCCCATCACTTCTTAACTTGTATCTCACATCTAGATCTAAATGTAAGAGTCCTGGATCCATGCCTAAGAAGAAGAAAAGCATAATGTCTTCTGTAGAGATCAGTTTGGGTATTTTAGGCTAGGGATGGATGCAGACTATAACCTTGCACTCAAGCAATGGAAAAATTCAGAAATCTTTTCAATTTAGAATCTGAATTTGGAGTCTGGATCTTAATGTTGGGTAGAATAATCCTCAGGGATCTAAAGAAGGTGAATTTTAAGAAAATTTGAATCATTATCTAAAGTCCAGATGTCTGTTACATTATTTGTAATACCTGTAAGTCATGAAATATTAAAGGAATTTCGATTTTTAAGAATGACTTTATTTTTATGGTTATGTAACTTTGATATCAGTGATCGTTATTTTAAATTGTCCCAGATGGTTCTCCAGGGGGATGTTTCTTGTCTTGAACTCTGAGGAGGAAGAGTTATTTATCTGTTCTGGAATTTATCCCAGGTCTGCAAAACCTAAAATTGTTCTTCATCAACTGGGAATTAATTGAATTGCAGTAAACAGGCAGATTTTAGTCCAATCCTTAATGGACATATGTTAATCAATTGGGAGAGTCATTATCTTCTATAACCTACAGAAGATGTTTTGTAGATGACCCTGATACAATCTCTGCTTTTACATACTCAAATTTAGCTTTGTAGGTTTCTGTATATTATACCTATATATCATTTACATGGATAGTAAGTATTATACTGGGACAAATGCAGAAATGACGATTGGGCACTTTTGGCTTTGCCTTCGAAGATATGATATTTAGGGTATAAATAATAGATAAATTGTGCGGTTATATTTAGCTGATATATACAGTACCTGCTGCTTACTAGTGCAAATTTTGTAGTACATTAGAACCTACTTCTGACATCTTTCAAAGTTACCAACTGAATACAGCAGCTAATACAAAATAAATGGAGTGGAGATTTGTGAGTGTCATGAATTTTTATCTGTTTATATGATATTTTTATAACTAAGTATTAAATAAGACACACTTGGAATTCAGTTTAAAAGAGTGCAACATACAGATCAAAAGAGAAAATGCTCTCCTTAAAGGACAGGTCATTGCTTTTTCCTAGGAAGTGATCAAAGCTTGCTTCATTGAAACAGTGGTTAAACACTGCTGCAGCATGCCGATGCTTAGGTTTCTTTTCTTTTCCATGTCATTTTGCTGTACCCCCTACAAGGACAGTGAAGGTAGACAGCTGAAGGACCTCCTAGAAGAAAGGACAGCATGTGCGGCAGAATTCCCCACGAGGTTCCATCGCATTTGGTTTAAACATTTCATATTCATATTGAGTCTCTTTTATGCTGGTTTTATGCTGATTATACCTAGAGGCCATTAAATGTTATCAGATACTTTATATTTGCAATTTTGAATGCAATGCATGGTATGAAATTCTTTTAAAGGGATATGTTTGACATGGAGCATGAACATATTAAAGTGAATGTACTTCCGTAAACTCATAGAGGTCGAGAGTGTCTATTTTTTCTCTTTTAACTCTCAACTGCTGGATGTAGCTTATGGCTCTGAGGTAGGGAGGATGTAGATTTTAAAATATCCATTCCTGTGACTTTTGCTGTTTTGAATTATAAAACCCCAAAAGTTCATACAGATGATCATGTTTGTTCAGGCAGTCCAAAATATGATTTTAAGGGACTATGCTTGGAGATCTACATCTGATGTTCAGTTTTACTATATTCCCCATAACTAATTAAGTTGACATACTGGACATATAAAGTTAAAATAGAAAGGAGTACTGAACAGAGTCTGATGTGAATAAACTGGTGTGTATTACTGAGCTTTCACTGGAAAAAGATCTTAACCTGTTCATGTATAAGATAAAATTTCTTCTGTGCAGAGAGAGAACAGTGTGTTTGGAGTATATGTGAAAATAGAAAGAAAAATTAAATTAGAAGAATTTCAATCTTTAAAGCACTTTAGAAGCTGTAATCCTGACAACATACATGATAGAGGTGTAGGTAACCAATATAATCTCTGTTTCTTCAAGGAGAAGAAACAGGGATGTGCTCTGGCATTGCGGTGGATCAGTGCCAGAAACAGTCTGAAAATTCTGCAGTCCTTCACTATATGACCAGGACCAGCCCTTCTTTAAAGCAAAGGAAAGGAAAGAATATGCAGATACTCAAATAATACATTATTTTCAGGTCGTTCTACAGCAGAAACAAAGTAAAAATGGTCGAAGGTTATTTCTGTTATGTGGATAGTGTACACCATTAGACAAAGCGATCATTTGGATGAGAATTGCTAGTATACTAACAAATCCTATTTAGGATTTCAGAACTGCTAAAGCAAGTCCTAAGCAGATAAAAACCTTGGGAAGCTGAAAGTGGCATTCCACAAGTTAACCTGTTTCAAAATATTTTTAATAACTTTTGAAGTCCTATTCTTTAATACTAAGAATACTTACGGGATTGAACTTTCTGGAGTGCAAATATTACTTCTATGGTATGGTGAAATGTCTATAAATGAGTATTACTGGATCCTGCTTTGATGTGTGCCCCTGAAGAGCTGTGTGGCCTTGGACAAAGTGTGAAACCTCTCCATGCTTCATTTCCCCATCTCTGAAATGGGTATAATATAATTTATTTTAAAAAATTAAGGATTGTTAGCAGAATTAGCACATACTCAAGGTCTGAATGATCTGCTCTGGCAACCCAAGTAGAGATGATTTAAGGCATTTCTGCTTCTGACTTTGTGCTCTACCTCTCTGCCAAAAATTACTGTGTCCCACCCCCCCCAAGTTCATAGAATAGGCAGTATACACACTGTTTAACAGTGTGGTTTATACCCTTGGAGTATTAACTTAAGCTGCCATTGTTTTCACTTTGGTTGAGTAGTGGGCACACCACCTATTTTTCCAAATCTGTTTTGGAAGTAGTCGCTCTTGAAGCGGAGGAGCGGGTCAGACTGCTGGGAGCAGCAGGCTCTTAAATCTCCCCGGCTTGGAACCTGAGAAGGTAAGGGTCAGTGCTGTCAGCTGCTGTGTTCTGTGTGCTGCAGGGAAGGCAAACGCACTCAAATGGCTCTGACAGAAGTTACGTCATTGTGACAGCTGACTGCTAAACAATTTGATAATTTCAGGTCTAGTGAAAGTTGAGTAAAAAGTGGGTTTTTTTGTTTTGCTGTAAAATGATGTAAATGTAGCATACTTCAGTTGTCATTGAAGAGATTTTCTCATGCTTTTCCTATAAATGATGACACAAACTTGATGGGCATTCAGCAACCAGGAAAAAGAACCATGTAAAACAGAAATCTACAGAGTGGGAATCTGAAACAGAAATGCTGTACTTGTATTCTTCTTATAAATGAGCTCTTCTTCAAAACTTTTGCTGATATCTATAGAGATAGAAAGACATCTTTTATTTTACTAAAGCCAGCAGGAACGACTTATTATTTCATTGAAGTAATTACATATTATTTAAAGTAGTGACACAACAGTGTTCTTTGTAAAATAAGTACGATATAGGGCATTAGGTGCAGGTATTTGCATTAGCGTTATATTGAGCATGTGTGTATCTGGTGGTGTATGATGGCAGTGTGCTCTAATAGAGAAGCAGGTTTGCTTTTCATTGTTGTGTGCAGGTTTTTAAGTTGTGGGGAAGGAAAGGATTTTAAGCTTTTAAAATTGAGGGCTCAGAAATCTAAGTTTTTCTACTTTCAAAGTTTAAAATTATAAGTGATACAATTATTTGAAAAATAAGGCAAACATCATTAAGCAAAATTTTGGAAGTAATGCTGTTTTTACTTAGTCTTGTGAATATTCTTCTGCTCTATTTATGCCCTTGTATGCAAAATAGTTTTGCAGGACTTAAACACACAAAAGAATTCTTTCCTTTTAACTTACAAACTCTAACAAGCACAGAAATGCAATAGTGCTGTTACAACCTACAAATCTGAATCTTTGCATGATATTGGGCTACTTCACTTTTTGGGAATCTTTCATTTTTCCTGATTGTTGTGTGCACACCATTCCTTTACATTCAAGGATTATTAGCTTTAGACATGTTCTTAACTGATGCCTTCCCTAGGTGTAAGAGTTTAGAGTTCTCACAGGTGTAGTACTTCACATTGCATGTAAAGGTAGACAGATAACATTGTGTCACACCAATTTGTTTTTTGGAGTTTGTCTTTGGAAGTGGTTAGGGACTTAATTCTGATTATTTAAGTAAATGCTAGGCTGTTAAGTCTGAAGTGCTTCAAACAATTAAAAGCTTCAATTCTGGGCCCTTTATATTTACATCAATTTTCTTCACAAAGTCTCTTCCCAAAGGTATCTTGGCTCACTTTCCAGTAAATCTTTGTTTCTCTGGTGGCTGGTGCATCTCCAAGTCACCACCTGTATATTCATTTGAAGTCTCTGGTTCCACCCTTAAACCTAATATGACCATTCTCAAATATGCCTTCCAGGATGCAGAAATGCCAAACAAGTTGAATGGTTCATTGATGGAGATACATCCCTCCCTCTGTATGAATGGTGGGACTTCTCCATTTCAGTTAATTTCTCACCTTGATTTCTGAGACTAACAGCAGCTGCCAACATCAGTGTTGATTTTCTGGTATGAAAGATAGCCATTTCCTGAACAAAACCATATTCAGATAATTAAGTAATTTCACCATACCATGTGTCAACAATAATCTGAGTTGCATTCAGACCAGTGGCCCTGGTATATTGCTCTTCTGTTTCATTTAACCACCATTTCTTGCAGTAAGTGTCTTATAAATAAAATTTATGTTTTACTATTGATCTAATCTATGAGAATGTTACCCTTTATAAAATTTGGCAATATTTGCAATGAAAACTTCATATGCTACTTTTTCTACCATGTTGTATATAGCTCTTCTCATTGCAACCCCACTTTATTACAACAGCATAAACCTTTGAACTGGTTAACAAGAATTCAGCCTAACTAGGTTAAAATATCTTTTTGTTAGGTTTTACCTTTTCCAAGCAGACCTAGTTTAGTCTCAGCTTCATAAACACACCACAAAACTGTGTTGAAGTGGAAAGAAGGTAACAAGCTGCGTCTGAAAGCTCTAGGATTAAGCACAGCCAGCAAAAATACTTGACAGATCCTTGGAACATACTATTGGACAATAAAAAGAATGAAAATATCCCATCTTCTGTACCCTGCTTTTTACTGTCATAGGTATGTGAAAGAATGCACATTTTGCAGATGAATTGAAATAAGATCCTATGTGACCTACCTTAATTCTAAACCAAGCTTGAGATGTATTTTGATTAAAATGGTTGACAGTATGCCAGAAGACTTGCTTGCAAGTCTCCTAAAAAGGAGATAATTATTTTTTTATTTTTCCATACCTTTATAGAAAAATTAAATGTCAGGTCTCACTGTATCAATTTACAATCATTGTAGCATCTATTAGTCTCTTGTATCCATTTACATTCTATTTTAATCCAAAAAGAGAACTAATTTTTAAATCCTACATTTTGACTTCCATTGTGCTGATATCCTGCAGGATCTTTCTGGAAAAATTGTGCTTGTAGATGGAACAGCATGAATTCTTAGTGTATTAGTGCCAATAGCTTATTCTGGAACAGTCATTTAACCAGTCAGCAGTCTATAGGCCAATCCCTTTTCCATGCCTTCTCAGTAACACAGCTCACTTAACTGAGAGGAAGTGTCTTTCCTTCTTTAGCTTGGAGATAGTGTTAACAGTGTCTTGTCGCTATAATATGTTTGCAGTTGTTTTACCTCTAATCTCTGTAGGATTACAGATTTCTAGTAGATCCACATGGCAGCAAATCTTCCTGATTCATATTGTAAGGGTAATGTGTTCTCCAGAAATTATGCATTCCCTCTTCACATTCTCATTCCAACACAATGCCACAATAGCTAATGGCACTTTAGAGAAAGAAGCAGTATATTAGAAAACTTATTATCTGACCCAGTGACCCTTTTGCAGGATTTGTTCTTGCAAGGACCAAGATAGCCTTAGACTGACAGACTGCTTCACTGCTGTCATTGTCATGATCCAGATTTTTGCTCTAATTTTTATACTGCTTTCGAAGTCAGTGTACTTCACAGAACAAACCCAGGGATTCTCCAGACTGAGAACCACCAATAAATTATGTAGATGTAGACTTTATAGTTGCTGAAGTAAAAAATGAAAGGGAAAGGGAAATATGAAGGCTGCATAGAAGGAATGAAGGTAAAGATTAAGATATAATGGAATCACTGAAAGTTAGGCCAGTGGCCTTACAGCGTGTTTTAAACTGGGTTTGGTTTTTTTGTTTTGTTTTTTAATTTAATGGAAGTCATAGTTTACCTTCATCAGTCTTCAGTTGCTTAGTCCTACATACTAGTTCATCCATTTTTGCTCAGTAATCAAACAACGTGTAAAAGAGAAGAGTTACTCCTTAATGTATTTGGCTCGTGAATAAAGATGTTCCTAGGACTGGCAATAAAATGTTTAATGACATAGTAAAAATACAGTTCAAGGCAGTGACTTGTCCTATTGAAAATCAAGCACTTCATAATTTTATTTATTGAATATTGAGTTTCAGAATAATACATTACTGAATAATATCTTGAGAACCCAAAATCAGATCTATTAACATCAGATACACGTGACAAGAAGTCCAAACATACTTATTTATACAGGGTGCGTGAAGCATGGAGACAGTAAGGAATTACACCACAAATGTGGCAGAATGGGAATAAGGGTGAAGGTCCTAGCTTTTTCTATGAAGAAAAGTTCTTATTTAATATTTATGAATGAAGAATGTCATTAGACTCTTGATTGTGAATGGTGATTAACTAATTCTGTGTGCCCACTGGAACTACTTCAATGTCAGATGTATTTCACAGCAGATGAACAAACAGGTCAGCAAATACATTTCACTGTAGTTGGAACAAACACGTGTGAGAAGATCTCTGTTTGGTCAGCAGTACATCATGGATGATACACCTGTAGAAAAATTGTTCTGTTTAATGTGTATCTGTCTTAGTACTTCTTTTGCTTTTATGCCTGGTCATGGGTTTTTGACATGTTTCATAAAACTTGTCATGACATGATCATGGGAGATGCTACAACATCTGCTTATGGTTTCTTCCCCCCCCCGACATGTGAGAAAAAGAACTTCTAGAGAAAAGATTTTTTTTTTATTTGGGAATTGTTACTACCTATTGAAGTTAGGATGAGATATTACTAATGCTCCTAGAAGTTTCTGTAGGATACTGTGAAGTGAGAGCTAAAAGCATAAGAATGATTTTATTTGTTTTTAAAAAGAAACTTTTTTTTAAAGCTGTTGCTTGTAACTAGCGAAAGGTTTACCCTTTTTGTAGTGCTTTATTACCAGTGTACATCGTCTATGAAGATTCTTTTAAAAAAAAAAATTGTAAAATTTGGCAAAACTGTATTTTGATTTTTAAAAAAAGTTACAATCTGAAGATGGTTTTTCACACGAATGGGTGAAAAAGATTTTAAAATATATTTTTAAATGATTTAAAGGTTATTACTGGAAACAAAATAAGTGGTCTATTACAATAAATGTTATGATCTAAAGATATTTGGATGAAAGGTTTTGTAAGATAAGTCTTTTGTTCCTGATGTCTGAATTGGGCACATGTAATCTATTGTGGAAAAACTAACTTCTGGGCTGAGAGGTACCATAAGTCTAAACAGGAAGCTGTTTCATTGAAAAACAGAGGGATTTTTAATCATCGTGTTTTGGGCATAGTAAATATTTAGGTCTTAGGCTTTATTTAGGCTGCTGTGGTGCCACTTTGTACTATAAAGGACAAACTAGGGGCACTTGCAGATGTTTCCTAAATCTAAGTTTAAACTAAGTTGTCCACATTATTATGATGGAGCAATGGTGGATCTCAAAACCCAAGAATGACGAATGAGTATTTCTTATCAGTAGTCTTGCCTCCCTGGTGGCTTTATCAGTCAGGCTTTTCTTGACTAGAAAGGCTGACCTGTTCCTCAAGGGTGGAAGATTTCAGCGGAGCACAGATTTGACCGTAACCCCAGCCTGCCTTTGTGGAACTGAACCCAGTAAATTACACGTTCCAGTGCTGCTTTGAATGAACCTATCTCCTGCTGTGTGCTATTTATAATTTGTTTGGGCACGCACTCACAAATATTTTTCTGTGATCTAATAATAGCTATTACTGATAGCTTAAATGATTTCAGCTGTTGAATCTGTTTACTATTAAGCAATAGCGTACCAGTAGTGTTGACTTACTGTAGTAACTGCACAACCTCCAAAATCTGCTATGGTGGTTATATTTCTCAGTCAATATGAAGGGATTTAGCTGGGGAATATCTGCTAAAACACGTAGAAAATAAATAGCTGAAAATAAGAAACAATTTAAATGAAAAGCTACTAGTATAGAAACAATTTTAGTGGGTGTTTTTTTTTTTAATTAGTAGGTAAATATAGATATCTTGTTTGTTATGATTTGCTGATTAGGTTCCCAGAAGCCTTTCCTACCCTGGTGACGCAGGTCAGTGTAGTTTGCTTACTTTATAGCTAGAGGTAACTTGAATTCCCTGGATGAATCTGTAGATGTCACTTAAACTATTCAAAGAAATAGTCTTTCCAGTGCAAGATGTCATGTCTAAAGAGTATTTATCAGGACATTCTTAAAAGAAGTGGTTTAAACTAGAAATAATTCTGGAAGATAGCAATGCAGTGCAAGTTCATCTTGTTGTTGGGGCATGAGGTAAAATTTGGCTTGTTGCCTGAAAATAGGGGAACGCTGAAAAATGAGCTATTTTACTCATTCACCTTAAAGTTTAATCAAATTAATCCTGTAGTAAAAACAGTTATTTCTCTTGTGCTCCACCTTCCCCCTCTCCTGCCTGGTATGGTCCACTGCATATGGTGCCAGCAAGCTGTGTTGCCTTTCATAACTGCACGGTCCTTTCCTCTCAGGGTGGTCATGTGGCAAGCGCTGTAACTGTTTATCTAGAAAAATGGCATTAAAAATGGCATTATGTCTTTTTTTGTTTGCCCGTTTTCAGCTCTGTCTTTTATAGTGAATAAGCAGAGGGAAACAAGGAGAGGAGCCAGCTCCAGGTGACTGGCCAGCTGCCTGTGGATCAGCACCAGAAAGTGCTCCACAGATTGCAATTTGAAACCCATTAATATAATGGATAAAGTCTATGAAACATTTTAAAACCTCCCTTGCTTATAGTGCTGCATTTTATAAGCTAGGTGACATCAAAAGAATTGGTTCTGGCTCAGACCAACTAATAAAAACGGATAAGGCTTATTTTTATGCTGAATATCAGTAAAAGCATGTGCAGAAGATTACATTTAACATTCTGGCTTTTACCCAGAGCACAACAAAGTCTATCCCCATCCATCAGAACAGAATTTGATAGGTTTGGAGACCCCGGATTTTTGTCTCCTTCTATTGAAGCATGAAGAAGCAGCTTGGACTTGCACATAGATCATAGGAACATGACATTGCTTACTCTTACTGTTATGTTTCCTGAACAGCTATGGAAAAGGTTGTATAACTATGCACATCATTTAAATAGGGTATTTTAAATTATCAATACTTAAAGCTGATATAAAGCATTAAATGTTGTTATATCTTA